GTTCTGCTACTCTGACCTTGGCTTACTTAACCGTTTATAGTCTTGTTTTCCTTCTCTGTAAAAAAAAAGGTTGGAATAGGGCTAGGATTGTTTTAGGTGGTTTTAAGTGTTAGTAAAATAAGGACTTAAAATATCATGACATTAGGCTTTGTTTGACAAAATGCAGTGAGGGAATTTTCAACTGGGAAAATACTAACTCCTAGAGAGGAAATTATTAAGATTTATAGAATACATATCAGAAATATAAGGAGATGGGAAGGCTAACTAATGAATAGCTAGGTCTTTTGCTTTTCTTAAAAAACAACATGTATTGAGCACCATATACCAAATATAGAGCAAATGTATGATTTTTTTTTTTTTTTCTGAATGCAGAGATTAAGAACAGCATGAGAGTAGTTCTCATGCTATAGGTCATAATAGGACACAGAAATGGTTCCTAGGGAAGTAAAAACATCAGAGTAGCCAGTTCAGGGAAATGACTTGCTGTTTACAGCTGAAGCCAAAGGGGTAGGGAAAAGGGAAGCACTGGGAAGGTGCTTTTCATTCTTGTAAAGAGGTGAGAGTAACGGTGGGAGGTGAGAATGATTTAGAACAACCTGGGGAGCTTTTTCAGTGTACCCGACCAAGCTTTTCCCAAGAGTCTGATATCTTCTACAAGGGGGAACAGGGTATGTGTATTTACACACACATAGAAAGGAAGGGAGGGAGGGGTAGGAAAGAAAGCTTAAGTGATACTAATATTCACCCTCTCACACCCTTAAATGAGAATCACTGCTTTAAACCTATGCAGAGCTACTAGCAAAATGCTTGTTGTGCATCTCATCTATAGATGATCTGAACTTTGAAACTCCCCCCTGCTGTAATTAGGTTCACTGTGCACTTGAATTGTCTGTGAGTAGCAGAATAAAGCAAACAGAATAAGAGAATAGGGAGCCATCTGGTAAAAGGTAGTGGGAAACACTGTCCATTGAGCACACTTAGAACAAAGTTAATCAGATGTCTTTATGATAGCCAGATGTATTGACTCTTTCTAGTCCTGGGAGGTTTTTACCTGAACAATCAGATGGCCCAGAACTAGAAGCCTTTTCTCCTAAGATGGGATGGGAAGGACACTGGCAAAAATTTTTCTAGATTTCCTAAGAAACATCACAGTTCTATATGTATTGTGATGATTTCTTCATTTAAGCAAACTTCCAATCATTCAGTCAGTAAATTTGGCAGAGCTATTAAGTGTCAGGACACTTAATAGCTAACTGGTCATTTCAGATTATTTTTCATTGGTAAATTTTAGGATGGCTATACTCCAATGAAATACAAGAAATGATTTTAACTCATTGACAAGCTATCCACATTATCTAGGTCATAATGCTAGCTGGGTACTTCTGTGAAAGGAATTCCCAAGAATAGTTCATCTCATCCCAAGTATTCACTAATGACTAAATGCCTGCAAAATTCTGGGCACTTTGCTGAATGAAGATGGATAAAGCATAATCCCCACTTTTCACTGCTCACATTCTAGTGGCATATTTGGGTTTTTAACTTTAGTCAGAGCAAATGGAACATCCCTGACCTCAATTCTTTGCTTTCCTTTAATCTCAACTGCCTCGTGTGATGATGATCAGAAAATTGTTGGACTTTAGAGTGGTAACAAAGTTTAGATGCTCTCTGGCATCAGATATTCAATGATTGTTGATAAAACAGTTAACAGAAATACAAATGGCCTTTAAAAACATGAAAAAGGTACAATTTTGGGGCACCTGGGTGGCTCAGTCGTTAAGCGTCTGCCTTCGGCTCAGGTCATGGTCCCAGGGTCCTGGGATCGAGCCCCGCATCGGGATCCCTGCTCCGCGGGAAGCCTGCTTCTCCCTCTCCCATTCCCCCTGCTTGTGTTCCCTCTCTCACTGTGTCTCTCTCTGTCAAATAAATACAATCTTTAAAAAAATAAAAAAGAAAGAAAAAGGTACAATTTTACTCACAAGGGGGATGCATATTAAAACAATAAGATAATATTTTTTTAATCAATTCAAAGGTTTTGAGAAGCTACTGCATTGGTGAGGCTGTGGGAGATCAGGCACTCACACACAATGCTAGTGAGCATGTAAATGGAAGGAATCTGTCTTTCATAATTACAAATGCAAAGGACCTTTGATCCAGCAGAACCACTTTATCTTTTAGATGTAAATGCATTTGTGAAAAGACTTATGTCCAAGGTATTCAGTGCAGCACTGCAGTAACAAAACAGAAAAGTAAATAATCTAAATGTTACTAGGGGACTGGTTAAACTGAAGCTTCCATACAGTGAAACTGCACGCAGCTGTAAAAAAGGAGGAGATTCTCGATGTATTATTATGACAAGCACCCAAAGATATAGTAGGTGAAAAAACAATTCAGGACATTAAGCATACCATACTACCTTTTGTGTAAAATGAAGGAAAATATACCTCTTTGTAATTGTATAAAATTTTGGAAAGATACACACAAAAAAACTAACTGGTTCTCTACTGGGAGGGGAAGATGATGGGAATTGTAGAGGACACATAGAAATGAGACTCTCTTACTCTCTTTTTTCGTATTTTCAGAACATGTACATTGTAACTTGTTCAAAAATAAGGTAAAAAATCCCACACAATTGTCAGTTACAGCTTTTTCATTTATAAGGTGGTTTGTACTTTTGCATGCATTATTTCATTTCATTTTCACCTCAGTCTCTTAGATCTTAAGTGAAAAAGCTAATGTTTGGAAAATGTGCACTTTAGAAATTGGCTTTTAACTATGGATTCCAGTGCTCTCTTGTCTACAGTTACCCATGCCAAAGGGGGCCTCACCATCCACTCAGTAACTCTCTGAGACATCCTTTCTATGTAGGTAAAGGGCAGGAGTTAGAACTCATTTCTACATTGTTTTAAAAGTTTGAGGTTTCTTGTGGGGGAGGGTGTTCTCAAACACATTGCGGGGTGTATTTTCAGAGCATGGAAACATCTCCATTTGTCAGTGGTCTCCAAGCAGTAGCTGTCCCCCCTCCTCTGGGGAGCTCTGTGATGACAAGTCTATGAGGTTGGGCTGGAGATCACTCCAGCCACAACCTAAATGCCTAGCAAGGACAGGAAGACATTCTGGGAAATAAATATAGGGGCACCATGTCAGAAAGGGAACTTTAAAAAGAGAAAAAGCCAAAGGATTTAGAAGAGAGGAACTGAAGACTGAGGGGGTGTCAGCATGAAGCATTGGATGGGGCTGAGAAAGGCACTGATAGAAGGGAGCAAGGAGAGGAAGTCAGGATTTCAATAGACACCACTGGAGATGGCAGAGAGAACAGGGGTGGTGGGAATGCAAGCTGGTGCAGCCACTCTGGAAAACAGTATGGAGGTTCCTCAAGAAGTTGAAAATAGAGCCACCCTACGACCCAGCAATTGCACTACTGGGTATTTACCCCAAAGATACAAATGTAGTGATCTGAAGGGGCACCTGCACCCCAATGTTTATAGCAGCAATGTCCACAATAGCCAAACTATGGAAAGAGCCCAGATTTCCATCGACAGATGAATGGATAAAGATGTGGTATATATACAATGGAATACTACTCAGCCATCAAAAAATGGAATCTTGCCATTTGCAATGATGTGGATGGAACTAGAGGGTATTATGTGAAGGGAAATAAGTCAGAGAAAGACACTTGTCCTATGATCTCCCTCATATGTGGAATTTAAGAAACAAACAGAGGATCATAGGGGAAGAGAGGAAAACATAAAACGATGAAATCAGGGAGACAAACCATAAGAGACTCTTAATCATAGGAAACAAACTGAGGGTTGCTGGAGGGGATGGGGGTGAGGGGATGGGGTAACTGGGTGATGGACATTAAGGAGGTTACGTGATGTAATGAGCACTGGGTGTTATATGCAACTGATGAATAACTGAACTCTACCTTTGAAACTAATAATACACTATCTGTTAATTAATTGAATTTAAAGAAAAAAATAAAAATAAACGGCAAGAACAGGGGCCTCAGTGAACAATCACAGCTGTGTTACTCCTCCCCCTTTTTGGTTAGGAGAAAGACCAGACTTGTCAAGAGTATTACTCCAGGTGACTGGGGGAAGTAAGAGTGAACACAAGAAAACAGGGAAATATGAAGCATGGAGGTATGTGTCAGAACAGCCTGGCTGGTGCTCAGGGAGCTGTAGAGGTGGATCATCCCCCAAACAGTAGGCCTGAAGCTCCATTAAGGCACCTCCCATGGAGGAAGAGCCAAGCCTTTGGGTTGCACTCAAGGCCCAAGGAAGGGTTCCTTCCCCTCTTTCCCACACCCCAGGAAGCTCCACAGGTGGGAGGCTGTGTCAGTGGGTCAGAGGCTGGCAATTTCCATGCCAGCTTCCCATGTTTTCTCCCACACTGTTTTTTTTCTCTTACCTTATTCTCTTGATACCCTCTGCTATATGCCCATCCTCTTTACCCACAAAGGTGAGTATGTCTGGTGGACCCAGCTCCTGCCTAACCCCATCTGTGCATGCCTCCTCTGGCTCCCCTCACATCGCCAATTATTGTAAATTTGCCTAGGGGGTCAAGCCACAGTCACCACCATCACCTCAGTCTCTAGACTCGGCTTACCACTTTAAGGGGCTCCCAAGAGCAGGGTCAGCACTTGAATGACCCTGAGATGGAGGACCTCCTTAAATTTGCTCCCTAGGCCCTTACCTGCCTTACCCTAGGCCTAGTCCTGCTCAGTACTCTGCTTCCCTCATCTCCAGGTTGGGTTAAGACCAGCTAACTGGGGAGGGACATCTGGAAGCCAGGACACCAAGAGGGAAATGGGGAGGCCTAACTGTGGCATCTTAAGGTTTATGTTTTTGGGAGGGGCAGTGAAGGGGCTCACACATGGCTGTGTAACTCCCCCCAGAGCTATCTGGTGTCCCCCACTCTGTGGCAGCTTTTTGATCACCAGAGAAGAGCTGAGAATGGAGGAAAGAGGAGAGGAGAGGACTGAGAGATGAAATCAGTGATACAGTCAATACGACCTTTATTCAACTGACAGGGACCACAGGAACATATTAGAGACCCTCAGGATACAGACAAAGTTCCCCAGTGGGTAACCCATGGGAAATTCACAGTCCATCAGAGGGAACCAAGTCAGACAACAGCTAGAAATCTGGCAGGCACAGAGCAGTTGGGCTGGATGGCAAGTGGGCATACACCTCCAAAGCTTCCTGAATGAGGTGCCGTGGTGGCAGTATTGTGAGGCATGGCAGGAAAGTGGTGCCAGGGAAGGGCTCAGCTGAGGAACATGCTGAGTACAGGGACTGTGTTAACACTTGACCTCCCAGGCCTGGAACAGCCAGTGCCTGGCACATAGTGAGCTGGCCAAAAATGGCTTTAGAATTGAGACTGATTCTCAGAAACCACAAGAGACAGGAAGGGACTAAGCAAATCAAAGTAGCAAAAAGTAGAAATCCACTTTGGAAGCTACATCAAGGGAAAAAGCCTGCAGGGAATGGAGTGCAGGGCCTGGACTTGGCAGTATAGACAACCCGTTGGCCAGGTTAGGGTGTGTGAGGAAGGTTGAGAGAGACAGGAAGAGATGCAGAGTGGTAAGATAGCAGCTGAGTTGCTAGAGCCAAGCCAAGGATTTGAGGGAAGAAAGTGGGAAGTATGAGTAATAGACCCTGCTTTGTAGGCTTAAAGCTGACAAACTGGACAACAGGCAGAGGGACAGGGGGCTCTTAATGGAACAGAATTGGCTAGAAGCTTGAAGAGAATTAACTATGATGGAAAGAGAAGGATAGGGAGTAGAAGAACAAATACCCTTGGGAAGGTGAGGCATTCCCCAGGTAAAACAAAAAAACAAACCAAACCAAACTAACAGAAAAAGAGAAGTGGGAGTGAAGAGTGGACAAGGAGCTCCATTATTGGGAAAATGGAGGCAGGGACTCCTCCCTGAGGCCTGGAGTTGAAGAAAACTATGGCCAAGTTTCTCCATCTTGGGGAGAGGGGCTGATCACCTCCCCCCAAACTCCAGCCTTTTGATCTTGGGAGAGCCCCACAGGGGTGGTGGGTTTGCAACGGTCAGTTCAGTCTGTCCTCGTGGGTTTGGTTAGGAGAGGAGCTAGAGGGGGTAATGGGACCAGGGCCTGCCAGACAGGTCCCTTCCTGCAGTCTGAACTGGACAGAATCTTCAAAGCAGGAAATGTATTTTTGACATAGATGCCATGGCTTAATCGATTACAACTCTACCTGATAAACAGAGTCTGGGTTCAAATCTCGCTGTGTCACATATTACTAAATGAGCTTGGTTCTTTCTTGTGTCCTGGGGGCTCTCCAATGCTTCTGTTGCCCTTGCCCATAGGGTAGGCCAAATCATGGTTAGGAATCCCTTGCATGGTACCTCATTGATCTCCAATGCAATTGTGAGGTTGGAAAACTTGGTTCTTTAAGGGTTTGTGAGAGCTGGCCTTACTCTCTATCCTGAGCTAAATGTTCACCTTGAATGCCTCCAGGCCAACTTATTAGGCCAGGAGAAGGACCAGGTAACTAGCAAAGGAAGACTATTTCCTTGGATGTTGGTTTTTCAGTTTTACATTGGATTTCCCCTCTTTGAGGTGCCTGCTCCTTTTTGTCCTTTCAGATTTCTGGACCCATGAATCCTCAGTGTCCATTGTAGAAGCTCTAGCCCCAATCAGTCACAACAGTTTGGTAGTGGCCCCACCACAGTTTCTAAAATTGTTGACTAACCCAGTCCTGTCACTGATTTAAGGGTGGGGACTCAAAGAAACCAGAACTGAGGACAAACTAGCCTTGAGGGGTTGCAGAAAATAAATTTGACAAGATTCCCCTTTCTCCCTGTTTGAAGAGGGTGAGGTACCACTGATTGAAGTGGAATTTGAATCTCTTGGCCAGTAATTCTCAAACTTTAGCATACATCAGATATTCTGGAAGGCAAGTGAAGACTGATTGCTGGACTCCACTCTCAGAGTTTCTGATTCAGTTTGTCTGGGGTGGAGCCTGAGAATATGCATTCCTAAAACAAGTTTCCAGGTAATGTTGATGTTGCTGGTTCAGAGACCACATTTTGAGACCCAAGACCTAATAGAGCACTCCCAGGAATAGAAGGAAATTTTGCCAGCTCAGGATTTCTAAGGGGTCTAAGGGAATAGACTTCACCTTCTGTTACTGTCCAGCCCCACTCATCCCCATCCAGTGCACTCATCTGAACAGAGATGGAAAGAACATGTCTCCTGGCATCTCTGGTTCTGAGTCAGGACTCACCTTGCCCTTGATGGAAATAAGGAAACAGTAGTTTGAGTGCAGGAGTGCAGGAAAGGAGAGGATTTTGTCACAAATTATCACACCTTTAGCTCCCTGAAGGCACAACATCACTTTGACAAGGGAAAACTTTTGCCTTCCACTTCTACATCAGTGTTAAGGCTTAAAATGCAAATAACTCTGGTGACTAACATAATAAAAAAAAAAATGTAAATAACTCTGGGAAAAGCTAACACTTTGAAGGGATTCTTTGCAGACATACTTTGATGGGGGGACAAAGGGGAGGTATTTGGGCCCTGAACAGGGTAGAGGCACCGCAGAAGGAAAAGGTGACAGGTTCCTGAAGATGGACGTCCCCATTTTACACTTGCCCAGAGAGAACACAGAGACAGGTTTTTTTTTTATTTAAAGGGGGTAGGGTGGACATGTGGCAAAGCCAGTTAGGAGAAAGATGGGAGATTCCCTGTGGGAAAAATCATTCAAATCTATTCACCCATCTGATGGCTGCTGCTTATTTTATTTTTTCGTCCAAGGGAAGTGGTATTGGACCGAGGTAGAGAAGACAGTGGTATACCAGAAATGACCTAAAGGGATGTCCTTTCTGCAGAAAGCTCTTAGACTCCATCATGCCTTTCATTTGGGTGCTATGACTGCACCCACACTTTGGGGGCTTTACTTGCTATCCTTACAATTACTAAAACAGATCAACTGCTGGAGGTTAACATTTGGTTATTAAGATGCGTGATCTGATAGTACAGAGAGTCACCTCCCACAAGTCTTTAAAATAAGGTTTGTGAGGAGCTCCATTTGTCAGCTTGTCATCTTTAAAAAAAAAAAAAACATAGAGTAGAATATCAGCAATACTCTTCTAGTCATTAAAGACTAGACTCTGTCTTTATACCCTACGGCCTCTGGTATCTTAGTTCTTAAAATATTTAGTGATCCTTGCCTTGTAACTTTTGACACAAATATATAAATGATCATATTGGGTCAGGGTAACTCCCAATGACCCGAGTTTAGTTATTCCATGGATGGGCTCTGAACCTGCTAAATGTGTATATAAAACAGAGTGAACTGCTAATGTCTGTTTTTCTCAAAAGGGTGTTTCTGGTTTTTATCAGAGTCTCATAAGGGTCTGTGATCTAAAACAGGTTCTGAACCATTGCTTACATAGAGCTGATCTGCATTAATGAATGAGGCATAGTGAGAGGGTAAAAGAAATGGCACAGTCCGGTTTTACCACTGGAATCCAATACTCTCTTATACCCTGGGGTATCTCTAATCCTAAAATGCTCCTGGCTCTGAGGACCTTACAAAGGGCTGGCCATTTTGCTCTATTTGTAGGAACGTAAGCAAGAGAAGTGCATTCCAGGCAAAGAAGGAAGGCTGCTCTGAGTGGCAGAACGGAGTTGGGGGCTGGGTTGCTCAAGTCATATCCACTCTAAGAAGCCCAGTCAACGAAATGACCCTATTTTCAGCTCCATTTGGGTCCAGAATTCTAAGGAGCTGTGATTCACCCAGTTTTTCCTAAGCAAATGGGACAATCACTAAACTAGATTGTTGCAGCTTACTTCCTCTTGCCTCTCTGGTTAATTCCACCAATTGTGGTTGAGAAATAAGTGTGTTAAGGAAAAACCAGAATCTAAGCATTAAAGAGAAATTATTCCACTTTCATCTGCTTTGCTCCTCTCTCTTCCTAACCCCAAACTGCTCTTACATACAAGATAATTTTTAAATTATAAGATTGGTATTAACACGTTATCAATAAAGCAAAACAATGACCAACTCATCAACCAACAGATGCTAGAATACTTATGCAAGTCCTGGAGTTAAGAGTCTTAAGTGTGGCTACCTTCCCAGAATTGGGAAGTAAACCCAATGCACACCCCCCCGCCCCCCATCAGCTGAAAAGCTAAACCATAGCCATTTCCCCTAAGGTTCTGTTTCTGGGAGAATGAGATCCTCAAGAAAAACTGTCTCCTTGATGAGGCAATCAAGGTCAAATAAGAGAGATGACAACAACCTGCAAGCACTGTGATTCCTGTCCTAATTTCCCAGCACTAAAACAAGACAAAGAAACCCACTCAGCATAAAGCTTCTATATGCACCTTACTTGAAATCAACAAGAAACAGCTCACCTCACTGAGGATGTGTCTCTCTCTTCTCCCAGGCAAAAAGAATCTGTGGCCCAGAGATTTAGACATAGACATATATATCCACAGTTGTCTTGATCTCAGTAATACCAGGGAAGGCTTTACACCTCAACTCTCACAGCTTAACCCATCACTTAACCCCTTCCATGAGGGCTCCCTTAATCGCTCAGCTTACTTCCTATCTTGAAACAAACAAAAAATCCCATACAATCCCTACTACCCTCATCCCCAGAAAACAGCCCCTAGAAAATCTAGTTTGTACAGTTTGCACTTTGCATGCTCTCTTCAAAGACCCTGCACACAGATACACATAGACACAAAAAGACACAGTCAAGAGGAGAGGGGTCTGTTCAAGGGGATAAATATTTTTTTCTTCTATGTGGGCCTGGGTTCCTTGGGGGGGTATAAGTCCATCTCTTAGCATTGTAGCATGATCTCTCATCTGAATATGTGTATGAGGAGGATGAAGGGAGTTGGAATAAGAGGGTGAAAATGTTCTTGTTTCTATTTTTCAGCAGGTGGGGGTAAGAAGTGTGGATGTATATTTGGATGATCAGGGAAAGGGTGATGGACCCACACAGGAATGAGGTCTGCCCCTCAGCTTTCATTTGAATAAAAAAAGGGGACTCTGGTGCCTGATCACTATCTCTTTCCTGTTTCCTCATTACTCTCTAACCCAGTGTTCACCAGTGTGTTTCATGGAGTCACCAGTTCTGTGGGATGTGAAATAGAAAGGACAGAGGTCAAATCCATTTAGGAAACACTGCATTAAAAGAGGCTTAACAATTCTCTGTACGAATAAGTTCTCAGAGCCTTCAACATGCTAATATGGTCTTTCTCTCTATATACAGAGAGGATATAATAGTTACAGTATACAAAGGTGTTACTCAAATATTTAACTGGTATGGCATAGGCTCCAACCACTTAGGATGGACCTCAGCCATAAACTGCTGATTCTCAAGTGGTACCCTTGAGAATGGGCTAGGGCTGAATATCAGCCCATGCAGTGAGCATTGTTTCCTAAAAGTTTTGCCCAAAGAACTCCATTTTATGTGGTATCTCACAGAACTGGTGAGAAATGTCTGGCCAGTGTTAGAACCTCATCTTTCGAGGGATGGAGCCAGGGCTTATGATTCTGGCCACTGGGGTGCAGGAGAGGGGCAGTTCTGGCAGAGACTCCTGGTAGCACCAGCTGCTGATAGATGTGACCACAGCTGCAGCAGAAACAGATTTCAAAAGACAGATGTCCCTCTGTCCCAGCTGCTCCGGGGACTTTGTCCCTGGTGGGTCAGCAGGTGTCTGTCCAGGTGATGTTTACGGCCAAAGCTCTTTTCACAGCGAGGGCACTGGAAGGGCTTCTCCCCAGTATGGGTCAGCCAGTGTCTCACCAGGTGGTGCCGTCGGCCAAAACTCTTCCCACACTCAGTGCACACATGGCACTTTGGCACTGGTGGGGCACGCTGCCGTTTCCTAGCCCCTGGGCTCTCTCCAACCTCTTGGCCCTTGCAGGATTTGCCTTCCGCATGCACTCTCTGGTGGCTGGCCAGATGGGAGTTGCATCGGAAATTCTTGCCACACTCTGAGCACCTGCTGGGCTTGTCATGTAGGTGGGTTTTCTGGTGCCGGATCAGGTGGTGTCTTCGCCCGAAGCTCTTTTCACACTTGAGGCAGCTGTAGGGCCGCTCCCCAGTGTGTGTTTGCTGGTGCCTGGCAAGGTGGGAGCCCCACACAAACTGTTTCCCACATTGGGGGCATGTGTGTGGTCTTAATAGGGAATCCATCTCTGTGCTACATAGAAGGTTTGAGAAGCTATCTTCCTGAAGAAAAGGTGGGCCCAGGAGCATTCCTCTGGAGCCCCTGGGCATGGAATCCCAGCTCTCATCCTGTTCTGGGTTCCAGAGAACAGTATCTTCAGACACACTAGATAACATTCGGGGAGGTTCTGCTTCTAGTTCAGGGGTATCACCCTCGTGCTCACTTCCATCTCCTGTGGAGAAGGGAAAATACCAACCCCAAGAGGGGAGTCACAAGAGAGTACTCCGGGACCCAAGTCACACGTGAAGTTGTCTGATTCCTGTTAGGGCCTAAACCTCACCCCATAAAGGCTGGGAGAACAGACTCTAATGTTGTACAAGACAGGGCAAGAGGTGTAGAAGTTAAAAACCTAAGCTTAGGAGGCAGATTACCCAATTTTGAATCTCAGCTTTCCCACTTAACTTTTGTAAGCCTTCATTTCCTCTTCTGTAAAATGGGAATAATTATAAGATAGATATTATAAGATAGGTAGTATAATACCTGCACATAGTGAGCACTTAGTAAATGGTTTATGCTATTGTTGTTATTTATTTATTTATTTATTACAATTACTTCCATTTTCCTGACTAAGCATAGATGGAGAGAGTTAAGAAATGTGTTGGAGTACCTGGGTGGCTCAGTCAGTTAAGCGACTGCCTCCGGCTCAGGTCATGATCTCAGGGTCCTGGGATAGAGCACTGCATCGGGCTCCCTGCTCAGCGGGAGGCCTGCTTCTCCCTCTCCCACTCCCCCTGCTTGTGTTCCCTCTCTCAATGTCTCTCTCTCTGTTAAATAAATAAATAAAATCTTTTAAAAAAAAAAAGAAAAGAAAAGAAATGTGCTGCAATCCTTACTGGCTAAGCGACCACCTGTCAGCAATACTAGAGACACTCCGGAAAGCATCTCCACAATGGGTGGGAGGTTGAACAATAACATCAACAGTAACAACAACAACTAACATTTACTGAGTGCTTATTATGTGCCTGGTACTGTTCTACTCTGTTAACATATTGAAATATCACAATAATTTACCGATGAGGAACCCAAACAGGGGTTACTTTTCCAAGGTTCCCAGGTGTGGGCCTGGATTCAAATCCACAAAGTTTGGTTCTAGAGTCTGCCTTCTAAACCTTTCTGCTACACTGTCTTGCCTTTGAAGAAAAAGATCTGTAAACTTTTGACTCTGTAACTCACTGAGCAGAGAAGGGATTAGATGGACACGTAACAATGACATTCCAAGAGGGTTGAAAGCAGTGGCTGAAAGTCTATTCTAGGTGCTTACCTGTATATGTGACCCTCAGGATGTCCCTCTCCTCCAAGTCCTGAGGGTCAGGAACCCATTGTTCTTCCCCTCCTTCTAGTTGAGAAAGCATGTCCAGTTTGGGAATTGGAAATCCTGCCCATGGGAAAGGAAAACAGAGATGTCAGTGAGTTCAACTGTAATTCTATTTCCAAAAAAAAGCTGTTTCGTAGATTACTCCTTGGAACTGAAGATAAAAGAAGGCCAGATACAGGCCTTTCTCCCGTCCCCATTTCTGTTAAGTCCCTCTTCTTTCTCTTAGAAAATCATATTCTCTTACCTAGCATGTCTGTTTCCTTCCACTCAAATTTCAAATACTTCCAGACCAACTGTCCTTAACTTCACTTAATTAGCCCTACCACAGCTGTCCTACCCCCACTCCCATCTTACCTAGATGGCTTGCTGAGTTTCCAAGGACTCAGTTCTATCACTTAAATGTCCTTCTCTCTGCTTTGTAAGAACCTCCCAATTCCCAACCAAGAAGAACCTAAAGTTCTCTTCTCCATAATTCAGCATTATTTTGCTCTTGTTTTTAAGAAATGGCACCTCATTGGGGCACCTGGGTAGCTCAGTTGGTTGAGCGACTGCCTTAGGCTCAGGTCATGATCCTGGAGGCCCGGGATCGAGTCCCACATCGGGCTCCCTGCTCAGCAGGGAGTCCGCTTCTCCCCCTGACCCTTCCCCCCTCTCATGCTCTATCTCATTCTCTCTCTCAAATAAATAAATAAAATCTTAAAAAAAAAAAAAAAAGAAAGAAATGACACCTCATTTCCATTCTCTCTGGATTAGTCCTAATGCTCTTTCTCTGGTGAAAGCTTAGACAGATTTCCAGCCAAGGAAAGAACCCTAGATAGACACTATCCAATAACTCTGGAGCAGATGGCTCCATCCTCCCAGAATAATAATCTTTTAAAAGTGGCTAGGGAAGATCATGCTTACTTAGAGAGACCACTATCCCACAGTTTTCCTGCATGACATATTCTCCATAAAAGTCTGTCTGAGAAGGGTCCAGGCTCCGCCACTCCTCCTGAGAGAAGCACAATGACACATCCTTGATGGTTACCAGGCCCTGAAACAAAATGTAGCATCATCTGTCAGTAATTGTTCCTTAAGGAAAATGTGATCCCAGTGTAAAAGGCTGAAGTAGTAGAGGAGAGGGCATGACAGCATCTAGAGAAAGAACTTCCCAGAGGTCCCTGGGTAAAGCATATAGTTTTGATGAAAGATAAATGAGCAGATGGGCAAAAGTATGGTCAGTGAGTGAGTGAGTGAGGATAATGTCTCTCGAGGAGTTTCCCACTGGGACCATGGGAAGTTGGAGGCACCATGAACTCACTGCTCCCTCTGTTTAACTACAGGTGTCTGCCCAGTCTTTTTCACTTGCCTTATTCTTTTCATTGCAGAAATTGGGTACTAGCCCCTTCTTCCACCACTTGACCTTTCCTTTTCTATCAGCACAAAATCATTTAGATAAAACATTCTTTCTTGCCCTGCGCCCATCATGCCATATCCTTATCTTTTGAGACAGCATAGTATAGTGGTTAGGAGCCCAGATTCTTGAGCCAAATGACTCCTAGCTCTGCCACTTATTAGCAGTTTGTCCTTACACAAGTGCCTTAATCTCTTCCTACTCTATTTTCTCATCTGTAAAATGGGCCTAATTGGGTTTCTCTCAGGGTTAAATGGGTTAATATATATAAAGCATTCAGAGAACTGCAAGCATGGTAAGCACTCTGGGAGTGTAGCTACTACTACTATTATTATCTTTCCCTGGGTCTCCCAGTGCCTTGTGAATCTAAACCTATTTTCTCTCTCTGGCTCTGCCCCTCTTTACTTCTATCTTCTCTTCTTTTCTATAAATTCTCCATTATCAACCCAGTCCTGCCTACTTTATGTTCTTTCAAGCTTCCTTCAGGTCCTCTTTTCCTAATCTTTCCAGATTTTTTTCTTAAAGGACATTAATAAAGTGTTCTTAAAAAAATCTCTCTAGGGATGGCATAGCGATCCATTAGAAACAACTTAACCTCTACGAATTCCCCTCTTCTTGTCATGCCTCCACTCATTTTTTCAAGGGTATTATAAGCCCCGTGGAAAGGTAATCTGTTCAGTTATAAGGTGAAGATACCATTAGTGATCATGTGAGATAACAAATCGATAGGCTGATGCTGAGGCTAGAAAGGCAACAGTGATGAGACCCTGGGAGAGGCCAAGGGAAGCAGATAGCCCACCTGTGATCCTGCCGCAAGAAGTGCAGCTGCCATCTCCCAATCTCCGGTGCTCCCCTCCTGGGGAATGGCAGGAACCCAGGGAGCTGACTGAGCTGGAGAGGAGAAAGAGGAACCACTAGAAATGGACCATCCACCTTCCCCAGTGAGAGCCTGGGTCCCATGTTAGAGGAGCTTAAGGGTCATATTTTCCTATATCTTTGCCCATTGGTAAAACTCAAATGCATACACATAGTGGAAGAGACATTCACTCAAAATGTTCTACAAGGCTATTAGGTGGTTTTTAGTAGAGCTTATATGTCAGCCATCTCCACTAGGCTAGCTGTGCTTTGAATTTATATTATTTGAATATAATTTTCACCTAGTAAAGTGCATCTTACTGGGTGTGTTCTCAACAGTAATCGGAGTTGTTGTCACTTCCTTTGTCTCCCACATTCAATACCACTAACCATGCACTTGCAGCATGTGGAGGGAGTGATCATGCAAGAAATGGGAGAAGCCCAGTTTTATGGTTTACAGAATCCAGGAGCTCCTTATATGCCTGTGACCAGGGCCCAGGAAGCCAGGAAAAATGGACTAGTCCTGGTACTGGTTACTGTACTCAAACACGCATACACCCTGTAGGCTCTCACCCTTCTCCTGAAGGGACTGTGGCTCCTCTTCAAGGTCACAGCATAGGTGTTCCAGTGGCCCTGGTGCTGTTCTCCATGGCCCCTCTTCTTGGCTTCCCCTTTCCACCTGAGGCTCTGCTCCATCCAGCTGGACATTCATTGACTCCCATCCTGTCCCCAGGACTGCAGTCTGTTCTGAAAGCATTTTTGCTGCAAACCCAAATTGTGACCTGGAACAAATTCATTATAAGATATGCCCATTAAAAATGGAAAGGGGTGATATTCCTAAGGGAGTTATGGAGAACAGCCTCAGGGATAAAAAGATGAAACTGGGTAAGAGGAGCTTGATAGCAGATGAACTTTAAAAGCTTGGTGTGTTCCAATCAACTGAGCCTGGGCCAAGCTTCTTGGAGGAACTCAGAAGTGAGCAGGTGCTAAACAGCAAAGCCACTAACAGTTATTTTGGGGACCTCACTGCAGAAACAGAATCTCCCTGACAGCTGGAAGAACTTCATTAAAACAAACAAGCAAACAAACAAAAACAATCCTGGAAATTCAAAAGCTATTCATTTAATTTCAACAAATACAATGAAGTAAGCAATCTGGACACATGTAGGATGGGATGTGCACTGATTTACACTCAACAAAAATGGATGTAATCACATATAAGATTTTCTGCCACAAATCCCATTCTCATCAATTAGTTCAGAATGATTACTACAGGTAGAAGACCCAGCCAAAGGTGTGTGTGTGTGTGTGTGTGTGTGTGTGTGTGTAAGGAGCACACGCCTCCTTTATAAGACTGAACCAAATGACACCTCACTTAAGCCTCAACAAAGAGACATAACCTGTCACTCTGATGCAGAAAATGAGAATCTGATGCAGAAAATGAGAACTGGTAGTAAATGTGGTGGAAAGACCAATAACTCAGAAATTGGAGAAATTTCTCATAGGAGAAATTGGTCAGTGAGGAATTGATTCTAATTGAAAAAAAGAACACAAAAAAGGGTTTGAACCAGAGTGGATAAAGGGGAAATAGTTGATGCTAACATGATGCTAACCCTCAGTGGGTGAATTAACAATCCTGTGAGTTGAGACATAGGAAATAACCTGAGACATAAGAAAGAACCAGTCAGATCTCATTAGCAAAATATATTCAGTTTTAAAGAAGGGTATGAAGAAGCCAGAATATGTTTCATCAGAAGAAACAAAAGTGGAGAAAGGGATGGGAAATATGGCCATTGGGAAAAGTTAAAAACAATAGACATAGTTTTCTCCTGTCTAGGGAAAAAAGCTGATGAATGATGCTACCAAGAAAGAGAAATGGTTTCTGTCTCTATAGATCTATTCTTTTGATTGCAAGAGAAGAGATTCAGGTTAGATAAAGATATTCTTTCTTTTTTTTTTTTTAACAGATTTTATTTATTTATTTTAGAGAGAGAGAGAGAAAGAGAGAGAGAGTGCTCATAAGAGGGGGAAGGACAGAGGGAGAAGCTGAGCAGGGGCTCGATCCCAGGACCCTGGGATCACGACTTGAGTCCAAGGCAGACACTTAACCAACTGAGCCACCCAGGCAAAAATTCTTAACAATAATCCTGTAGTGCACAAGACCAGGTTGTGGGCTTTTCTTTTCTCTGGACATTTTAGGAGTCAGAACAGGTCTCATGTGTTGTGACAAGGGCTTCCCTGACTTCTGGCAGAGAAACAGTCTATGAGACTGCAGAGTCCTTTCTGCTTGGCAACATTTTGTGTGTGTGTGTGTGTGATTATTATTCAGTACTCCAGCAGTCAGGGCCAGTGAAAGGCTTCCAAAAACAGGTCAGAACCTTGGTTAACTATCCTGGCTCACTCATATCCATTCAGTAACATTTGCAGGAACCCAGAAGCCCAGGACAGGTAATGACAGATGTCAAGTTGTTTATTTTCTTGCCTAACTGTCTTTGACAAAAGAGGTAGGTGGCAACCCTAAGACCAATGCACAGGAAGGCAACAAATTACCCTTTCATCTCAGAAGTCCAAAGAAGTCTCAGGGCCTCATGGGAACATCCTGGACTGATTCCCAGCTTAGGAGGTTTCCTTTTCAGAGACTTCTCATGAGAAAGGAAAATTCCCAATAAAGCAATAAAGGGAAACTTCCATTTTAACTCTCTCTTCTGAATTCCAGCCCCTGTATTTGCCTTATTTTTAACATATAAGGCACCAATTCCCTCTCTTCACTAGAGGTCTTCTTTGTTTCTCAAGCTCCCTTTGAATATCCTCCCTCAGGGTTTACCTACAGGTAATACCTGGACACCTGTCTCAAACTCATTTCTCCATCTCTCCAGCACAGTCCCTTGATGGGAAGCCTCTTTCTGCAGAGCCTCCTGGGCTAGCGGTGAGCCTCTCCAGACCACTGACAGAAAACCTGTGGAAGCGCTGGTAAAAATCTCAGCAACAAGGGGGTGGGTACTTATCCTCACACTGCATTTCCTCCGATGTTCACTCTCTCAGAGCCAGCACCTGGGCAGTTAAGGGTGTCAGCCCTAACCAGGTTTCTCCTGGCTCCAGGATGTTCCCAGGCCTACTGGAGTCTGGGTTCTAGGGCTCCCACTTCCCACTTTTCCTCACATACCCGAGGGTCAGGGCACCTGCTGAAGGAAGTTTTTGCAGCGGGCGCTGTTGGACAGGGAAAGGAGGGTGTAGGGAGAGGAGCAGCCCAAGGGCACAGGGACGAGTCGCGCTCTGTCAGAGAACCCTGCCCTCTGCCCCGGGTGGGGCAGGAGCGGGACGGGCGCCTGCTCCGGAGTTAAGGTTGCTTCTCCCCTCCTTCTTGTCACAGTGCCCCTGGAGAGGGTCAGATTTCAGAGAATCCGAGAGAGGCAGAGCTGGGGCAGGGGAAGTGAGCTCAGAAAACAGGTTTCCCGTGAACGGAGGCAAGAGCAAGTCAAGAGAAAGGAGCCACGGGGTAACCTGTGCGCGAGTGACAGCGGCGGGAACCCGCGGGGCCTGACAGCGACGCCGCAGACCGGGAAGCCAGGGCGAGGGGCGGGCACAGAATGTCAGTGGGGCCGACCCCCCGGTTAAGGCAGCGACCCGGAGGCCGCGTCGATCCTCCTCCCCGCCCCATGGGTGACTGGGCCCCCACCCGCCGCCCCGGGAAGCCTGGCGTCCTTCCCTCCAGCCGCGACTCCCTGCGGCCCGGCCCC